TTTTTTTTGCAGGCATTAAAAGGAAGTTCTGTAAAACGACAGAAACGATTATAACTGAATGCTGAGATGCCTAAATTGATACGGAAGTAAAAGTGAAATATTGTTGGCACTAAATCAGTAGGAAAACTAACTTTCAGACTATGAGTAAGTAAGAGGTCAACAGAACAGTATTTGCTGTATGCAATTGGCAGTTCATAAACTGAGAGTGAACTTTGTAACTGAATTTGGCATTTATTAACGAAATAAAAAAAAATTTAGCTCTTTTTTTTTTTTTTTTTGCCAGTATCAGTGATAATGAGCAGTGAGGGCTAAAAATGATGATGATAAAAAGCAGCATAATTTTATATAGCAGAAATCAATTGTAATATTTAATAATGGAAAGAACTTTTGTTTTCTTCTGTTTTTGCTTGTACAGAGAACAGAAAGCAACAGATATACAGGAAAAAAAGAAAACTGATGTTGTCATAAGTGTCGTTTCCTGTTCTGTGAATAACTGGACTGTTCTTTTCAGGCTTATTAGCAATACAATTAACACTGAAATGTACTCTGTTATAAATACATTTATAATGGATTACTTACGATATCATTACCGTGAAAGTGGATTTGATCTGACAAAAAAAAAGTTAAAACTTGTTAAAATCTAGTTTTAGCTAAAAGAAGCCCTGTTCCTTCATTAATCGTTTTTAGGATCCTCAAAATAACCTACGTTTAAGCTGTTGCTTCCCTAATTAAATAATTTTTATCTGAAAAAAAAAATTGAAAACAAAATTATTGAGATAAATATATGTCTAGGCAGTTTAATGGTAAGGAAAAAAGAAAATTCTACTAATTAATTGGCTAAAATGAGAATAACTGAAAAAAAAATGTATATAACTGTTCAGCTTTTTTTTTTCATCTTCTTTCCGTCTCTCATTAATGTTCCACCACCCCAACACGACCAAAACGATAATTACCAAGTGCGGTGTACATTATTTTTTCAGATTATTTGGATAACATTCACTCAGATCTGTTGTTGATCGACAGAAATTTTAATGAAAAAAGATAAGCAACTTTTCGGACAGTTTAGTGCAATATTTGTTTTCCTACTGCCCAAACAACCACCACTGTTATATCGGTTGATAAGTGATTGCAAAATGTAACAGCAAAAAAAAAGAAAACTTAATCTTAATGTAGTCAGGAATTTCCATTGTCAATTATATGGATTTACATGCTAAAACAAACAACTAAAAATGAGATTTAATTGTCAAGAAAAAATAAAAAATACTACTTTCTCACAACTAACTGCCAGTATTCTAGCTTAAGTCTGTACCGCTTTCAGAAAGTTGATGGGGAATTATTTAATGAAAAGAAAGAAAGAGAAGCAAAAAATAATGCATTAAAATGTATTTTAAAAGCACTATACTATATTTAAAGAACACAAATTTTTTGCATCCGTTAAACAGTTATATAAATTCCATAAATACTAAACAAGTTCAAGGTCAATTTTTCTTAATGGATCTTTTTTTTTTCATGTTTAAAATCAAGTAAATTTTTTTTGTTTGTTAAGACTACATATAATATACTTTATATCCAACAGCTGTTGCCAAGAACTAAAGGTTTCAGTGTAGATAAGCTGATAACTACTCCATCTGAAAGGTATTGGGACCGATAACAGAAGACAGTCAAGATAAACTTCTTTTACTTTCAACAGTCTTTATCACTAAGCAACTTGGCAGGTTTACTGAAAAAAACTATCTTTGCAATTTACGTGAGACTATGTTTCAACTGTCTGTTGCCATTATGCAGTTTAGAAAAATGCTGATTTTAAGCCCGTCAAGAATACTGCATTAAGACAAAAAGTATCCGGCATTGCTTTTATCTGAATGGATGCCTAACAAATACGTCGCTAAAACTTCTTACAAAAATTTAACTGATTTTTTTTTTAGCATTTATTACTAGTAACTTCTAAAAATGTTTGGGATGCTGCACAAAGTTTAAAGGCATAAAATACAAAAGGAGTTCATACCTACTTTGGCGAAAGTACCTTTCACAACAGAAAATTTGGCATCATAATCCTGAACTATTTTACAAAAGATGCGTATCTGTGAGGGAGCAAAAACTACACTTCGTTATAACTTTTTTTACTCAATTCTTAAGGTACAAATTTTTAAATTCCCACTTTCAACAGTGGACATTTTAACTGGAGAATTTTATGAATAACTTTAGAACCTGCTCTTCTTACTTCAAATTATGATACCCATTATTTTAAAGGCTTTTGTAGCACTAAGCAACACAGTCACCAACAAGAACTCATTTTCTCGTGACGAAACCTTATAATTTCCATAATTTCTAAAATACCTTTGAAAGTGTTTGAAAGAACCTACTGTTTTCGATTTTCAGACAGTGAATTTACATCAGCTACAAAATTTTTGATGAGAACAGGAAGATACCGAACGGAAAGAACAACCGCAAACACAGGAAAGATCACCTTTTTATTAGACTCCAAGTTATACTTTAATCGTTTTATTTCGGAATTCCCAGTGACCAATGAACTGTCACTCAGATTAAGTTAAAAAGACTACAGGAATTCCTTAATTTTTAGTGAACCGATGAGGCAATAGAAGTCTCAGTTTGTATGTGCTCTCTTAGTCTTCAAAATACAAAATATAACGCCAAAATTACTAATTTTTCAACATAGAGATCATCGCCTCAAAGGTTTGATCTACAGCAGCTGCCGATACATCCAAAATTTCAACAGCAAAAATCTATGACTAAATACAGCTCACATGCACCACCCGTATTTTTAGCTCTTTCGTCCGGCAGCATTAACCATACACCAGTACCTTTCTTTAATTTCATCAAGAGACACAAGTCGAAATTGTAATGCACAGAATAGTTGACTACATCAAAAGAGGATCCAGGAAAAAAATCCACAACTAGATCATTTTTGAATACGTCAGTTGCAGAAAAGACTCACACGCCAAAATAGAACCCATAATTTTAAACTTTGGTCTCTAAGCCATAAAAACAAAGATCCGATGCACACATGCCAAAAACTTCTTAAACCTCAATACGACTCCTAGGAACCTAAAAAATGTAATCATGACTGAGGAGAACAACATACCGCTCAATCATCTGTTCCAATGCAGAAAATTATCTATTCCAATACAGAAAACATTTTTGTATGGAAAACGAAGGTTTTCTACACACTAAATATTAAACTTGTTTGGTGTTTGAAGGAATGCAATTTTACTGCATCTGTTTACTCATAAAAAGCATTGTTTGGAACTTCTACCTTCAAAAAAACGACAAAATATAATTTGAAGGACACCCGTGCTAAGATGGAAAAACATCTTTTTTAATAATCTTAGACAAAGTCCGTCCTAATATGACAAAATTCAATGCCTTTTATAACGTTTAAACAAACTCTGGATAATAAACATCTTCAAATTCACGGTATAAAAGATCGCAGTTAAACCAGGTATACTAAAAGCTAAAATTACCAAATAAAACATCCCATTTCGCTGTCCTCATTTGGGATAAAACTATCCTTAAACAATATTACCAAAACACTAACACAAACAAAGACAGTAACAAAAGCTCAGTAAGAGAAAACGAATATGAGCAAGGTGATAAGGCGAAAAAGCCATCTCAGCAAATTCTGACGGAACGATGTTAGCTTTTAGCAACATTATGAAAGACTAGTCCAAACGTTCAAGGCATTAATAATTCACTGCATATCCTGAACGCCACAACGGGTACCAATCCCAAAACAACAAACTGTTACCAGAGACATTTAATCCCTCTATTAATAAACTTCCTCCCAAAATAAACAACACATTAAGTTTAAAGAAACCAGTAGATTCAACAATACAGTTATTCAACTTCCATTTCACTAGACCCGCCTTCATCACTTTCCTCTTCAGCATCATTACCGCTGTCGTCATCACCCGAAGTTTCATCGTCAGAAGAATGAGCTCTTTTCTTCCTACCTCTAACTTTAGCATCAGAACCTAAAACTGCAGATCGATATCAAAAAGTAAGAACAAATACTAAACATTATCCAAAAATTTAAATTCATTATATTCAACCAGTTACATTTAGTTTAAAGCACAATGAGCAAAAAAAACTTGAAAATCGATTTAAAAAACTTTTGTTAGCGGCACATTCATAATTCCTAATCAGGTACCACTCATTTTTAATCCCAATCGTTTCACTTTTCTGAGTAACTTTCTCACTCGTTGTTCAAGTAGCTTTCTCATACACCAAACTAACGAAACGCTTCAATGAAGTATGGTTTTAAAAAACCCCTCTTCAAGTCAACCGATAATTATGCTCCATAGCAGCACACATGGGAAATTGAGACAAAATTCGATCAAAAAACTCAATGTTGAAAAAAGCGAACATAATATGCTAATATGACTTCTGATAAGAAAAATAACGTGTAAAACTTACTACCCTCCTCCACTTCATCACTGTCAGATCGTATTTCCTCATCATTCCACCAATTTTCATCACTAGCTATGCTTTCGTCTTCTAACTCGTCCCCCTCTTCTTCATCTTCACTACTTTCGGAAGAGGATTCATTCTCATCTAAAAATTCATTGAAGCATAAGCAGCCTGCTCAGGTCAAGCGTTTAAGCCTAAAGAAACAGCATTAAACTTTTTTCCCAGTGGTAATGCTGTCAAATACATTATTCAGCACAAGAATCAAGAAAATAATGCCCATGTTAAAAAAAGCTGCCTCATCTCGCTACACTGCCAGGTTACCTAACAGTACAACATGATGAAAAAGTATCTTTTGTCTACCTGTGAAAAAGATCTTAGGTTCTTGAAGAATAAAAAGATGCGGGTTTGCGCGACGCTCAAGTTGTTCCGTGACTAATGCAAGTTTTCCATAAAGTTCACAAAGCTTCCCCATTTGTGAAGTGCGCCTTCTCATCCAATCAAATAGGCCTTTTAATTCTTCTTCTAAATTCCCCAACTGAAAAATTAATCAATTTGACGAAGTGGAACCGAAGAAGCTTGATTAAGGAAGAATATAGGTACCGTTGAAAGATAAGCCATATGCATGGAAACAATGTACTGAACCCATCGTACCCAACATCGTATGCTAAAAGGTTATAAAACAATTATAAGAGCAAACTGGTAAAAAAGTTCACATCATAAGGATCCCTAGAGAATCAAAATTTTTGCTAAGAACGTAAATAACAAGAACTAACTCCAGATTATGGCGATTCTTTAGGCGATACTCTATTTGTTTCAACAGGGGGAGAATTTGCGTTACAGGAAGGTCATTAAGAGTAGCTGATATAACATGAACATTAGTTTCTGACAGAACTGCATCAATCTTTTCTCCATCGCCACTTGTCAAACCTTGTCCCAACAAAACAGCTAAACTTTTTGCCTCATCCGGATTTTTTGATTCATTTGGAATTTTTGTTTCCTCCTATAAGCCAGAGCCTTAAAAATCTGTTTAACAGCGAACACAGAATTATAACTACTATACGAAGAAACCGTTTTATCGTCCGATGTACTCGCGTTTTCGTTTAAGAGGCCATCAGTACTTACTTCCATCGATTTGTCGGGTTTCACATGTTCAGCTATAGATCCATTCTCTTTTTTCCTGTAACTTTACTTACAATTCATTTGACTCAGTAACTTTTATCTACAGAATTCCTGTACAAGAAAAGCTCACAAAAACAGCAAAAAGGCCTGAAAGCCAATACGAGAGAAGCTGACACAAACTAGCCCTTTTGCCAAAGTAACTGAAATTATCTCGAAACTAAAGTACGTTATCATAAAAATAAAACAAGCAAGGCAGAAATCCTTACCGTTGAGATCTGAGCCTTTCTTTTAAGGGTACATCCTTCACGTCTTTAAGAAGGCACTTTTCTTCAGACGGAGAACCGTTGACCTAAATGTCTTCCATCAACTTGCACTAAAGTTCAGTGATTTAAAGCAAATTTGTATAAACGACTTCCCCTTTTGCCAAAAAGAGGCTCAGCAATGAGTTTTCTATACAATAAATCGTTTTTAGATTTACAGCTACTAATTTTAAACCAGTAAAATGAAATTATGTACCATCGAAAATGATGACACCAACTTGAAAGGTAACAAGAAGAACAATAATTACGCGATTAGACTTCTAGCGCTTTTTTAAAACTACACATTACCAGCTACAGTGTCACAAAAATTACACGCTTATAATTTCACTTACATAAAAAACAAAAAATGAATGGCTGAGTACCTTAGAGACTGACTGATTATTTTCCAAGACACCAAGAGACGATACTGGGTCATTGCTGTCATCCGGCAACGCGTTGTCGTCGTGATGCTCTTTTGTTGACTTACTTCGCAGGTTCCTCCTCGTCATGTACGGGGGACCTAAAATGATGAGTTTTTAAAAATTATTTCCTGAAACTACAGCAAGCAAGTATATCTAAAAAAACCATTTAGATAACTAAACGAAACCGACTCATGGAAGAAAACTTTGTCAAAAGAGGTAATTGTAATTTTTTTCTTTACTCTGTAGATTTTAATTTAAACAAAAAAAAAAGAAGTTTTTTAGAAAAATAAACTGGATATCGAACCAGTTGTTATCTCACCACCGCTTCACATCTAATTGCACAACATTTTTAAATGGTTCATTCGTAACAGCATTCAATTCACACGACTCTATACATATATGTAAAATTTAATATAATATGGAAGAAAAAAAACAAAAATAAAAAGTTACTAAACAATATATTTAGAAACAAAAATATGTTATCGTTCAATAATTAAGATATCAAAAAGGAAAAAAAAAAAGCTCTTCCTAACCAAATTCCTCTGGTTATAAATAACAAATGCCACAAAAAATTTTTTATCATTTTTCACTATCATTTTACAAAAACAAAAAAAAGCTTTTTTTTATAATAAAATTTTTTTTCTCAATAATTAAAAAAAAATTGACGTCATATACCTAAATATTTGTTGGGATTATGGGGGAGAGAGAGGGGACGGGAAAAAAAAAATTAAAAACACTGTTATTTTCAACGACGAAAACTTACATTAACCTAAACTCTGCCAACAACAATAAATGTTACTAGAAGTTTTCTAAATACAGCAAATTTCAACCATCATTTATAACAGTTAATACAGTTAAATGTTACAATTTACTACATTCACACTAAGTAATAAATTTAGCGAAATTTAAAAGAGACGGCTACCGATATTAGAGGGAAGAATAACGATGTTGGCACAGTGCCAACTTTCAAAGAATCCATATGACAGATATTTTTATATAGTACATTGTAGCGTAACTTCACATATCGGCTGCAACTGATGCCTTAGTATAACTCTCCACCCCACTAAATATTGTCACCAAAACAGTTATGATTCTCTTAATCGGCTATAAACCGTCCTTTGTCCGAACTATTTAGTTTTTTTTCTTTTAAATGTTCAGCTTACATTAATAAATGTAACAGTAATGACTGTAAGTTATTCAGTTGTTAAATTTGCTTGAATATTACTTCATATAACCGTCATTACTTGATGGATGCTATTTTGTAATCGCATCTATTACTGCCTTTTTTTTTTTGTTACTTATTGACACGCTTTTTTCGTTTGTTTGTTTTTTTTTCTCTCTTCCTCTCAAATATTGACAAGACAGCTGTAATAGTTTTGAATTTTTCTATTGTATCTTTTGGTTGAACCTTTTCTGTCTATAACGTTTAGTTGGTTGTCAAATACAGATTTATCTGACCTTATAGATTTGTATACACTGTTATAATATGCAGTGAAACAACAATTACATTACTCATTTGTAGGCTTTTAAAGTCAGCTACTTTTATCAGGTAAGCTGGTTTTTCTATTTTTCTCTTCCTTTGTTATGAAACTGTATCGTATTGGTTGTTTAGTGCTAACAAAAGAAAAAAGCTTTTTTTGCGCCAGTATTTGAATAATTATAAGAAAATAGCTCTACCTTTACAGTTTACTTGTGTTATCAAACTGTAAAGCATTTGGATGTAAAATTATTTTTATTTTTTATTTCTTAAAGTCTTAGTGCTATGTTTATAACCGTATTTGCAAGGTGTTAAGTCTAGATTTTTGTGCTGAAATGAGACCGAAAGATTGTTGCAGAAACTGTTTTTAAAATAAATTGTTTGTTTTAGTGCTAATTGATGTTTAACTTTACATTTTGAGCTTCAAATAGATAATAAAGAAATAAATGTTTTTTTGTCGTGATCCTTTAATTTCTCAACTGCTGAGGGCTCATTCTTTATTGTTCGGTAACGCATTGGTTATCTAAAGCAACTGTTATGAAGTCCCATTACAACTGAATCAAACTGATAAGTATTTGTCCACAATTTTACTGCAAAAAAAGATTTGACAGGCGCATTTAGTTGATAATAAAGGCCAATGGCAGCGAGTTGTTCCTGGTTAGAGAGCACGTTTTACTGTGTTTCTCAAGCTTTGCGTATAGTATACGACAAGTTTTGCTTGCACACTGATGTGCCTGAATCATGAGCGAATTGTTGATGTAAGATGCACCTGCTTGAGTTTTCAGGAAAATTTTTCCTTACTAAAATTTTATCGTCAAAATTTAATTTTCAGCGACGGATTGGATATAACCCTGATTATTTACCTAGCACTTACTTTCGGGATGACGATACTTATAAACCGGTGAAAATATAATTGTACAAAAAAGTAAAATGCTCTTGACACTTCAGGGCTGAGAATTGCCGTGGCTTGCGGCTGTAAAATTTAAAAGGGCTGTTACTTCAATCAAATTTTTTGATTATTGATTCATCTAACTTGTGAATGATTGGTCTCGATTCACTGCAGATAATTTGGTATGATTATGGTAAAATTGGAGAATTATTATAGTTAAATCTCGACAGCATTTCAGATTTGGCTGGTAAATGATGATTGAACTATTAGAAATGTAGACACCAATAAGGATGCTGACAAATTTCATGAGCGGTCAGTAACGAGTTGAAGCATCAAATAGTACTAGATAGGAGGAAAAGTTCATTTTTTAACGGATTTATTTCTTCTTATCATTTTTGTTGCTGCTACTTAGCCACTGTTTAAACAATAATTGGATATGAATTTGAAAATTTTTTTTTGTGAGGAAGGTAGAAACGCTTTTTGAAGATTTATGCTGCGTTACTTTTTTTTTTTTTTTTTTCTATTGAAACTACCATAGATGAAATCGGAATTGGATGTAAACGGCAAAAAATATGTTTATTTGTTAATTATGAATTTCTTTCCCAAACATTCATAAATTTAGTCATTCGCAAATTTTAAGTTTCACTTTGCTTATTGGGCGTCAACTCATTATTAGTTCAATTTTTTTATGTGCAGGGTTATTTCCTCACTTTAGCTAAGGACTTGACGGTGCTGTTGTTGGGTTTTGCAAATGATTTTGCCATTCTTTATCTCACTGCTTGTGTTTCGTAACATATTTATTCGTCCATTTATTTATCTCTAAGTTGGTATGTCTGTTTTTTGCGTATTAGACTATCCTTACTGAATTACGCACAGGCATGTTGGTGAATACTTTGTGTAGCCGTTGGTGTTTATTGCGGAGGGGCCTAGGAGAAAACCTGTTAAAAGCGAAGAAGTGCAAAGAGCGTGTTGGTAAAGGAGTCTTGCTAGTGAGTGGAACAGGACCGATACTGTAAGATTGTTTTTTAGGTTGAATGTATCAGGGAGGGAAGAAAACGTTCTTTAGCGGATCGGTATAGCTGATATGAGCAGAAATGGCTATTAAACTGTTGCCATTTTCTACGCAATAGTAGGTACAACTGCCGCAAAAACTCCTGTTAAACATATTCGGCGCATTTTTCTTACCCACTGCTCATTCGATTATTGGGGTTGAACGTCAATAATTATGCTTCACTGCGTGACGGTTGGGAAAGGTTTAGAGGATTTTGTGATACAGCAGTTAAAAATGTTTTCAGTAAGTTTTTATTTTGAGCACTTCGCGTTTTTTGTTAATTTTCTGTTCTCTATGGTGTGAAACTGAAAGTGATATCAGGTACTGAAAATACTTTTGCTCTAGTGCAGTTTGTACTTGAAAGAACCTAATTGCAGCATATTTTGTGAGTATTTCCAGTTTTATCCTGAGCTTGTCTTTTACTTATCCTCGAACCTTAGGCGTCAGATAACTGTCGGTCTGAAGGAGATTTTTAAAATTGTACTATTTTAATTTCTCTGAAACATCAAAAAAAAAAATATTTGTTACTGCGACATGTATCATTTCACTTAGAAAATTCCTTGATTCTAAAATTAAAATGTCATTCATTTTCTTTGTTTGGTTAGAACAGTTTTCTTAGAGTTTTCAGCTATGGAATTCAAAAATTTTATCTTTATCAAAAAGAATTCCTTGAATCTGAATTTAAAATGTCATTGATCTCCTTTGTTTGCGTAGTACAGTTTTCTTAGAATTTTCAGCTACGAAATTTAAAAATTTCATCTTTATCGAATTTAAAATGAGGTATTGTTAAGGTGGGTATCAGCAGTAACCGCTATGGTAAGATAGTCTTTGAGACGCAACGCAATAGATCATTGTTGGATTTGAAATGTGTCGAACGATTATTTGCAGTTATTGCTTACAAAACTATTACAAGGCCCAACTTTAATAAACGAGGTAAAAGACTGTGATAATTTTGTCAGTTACTTTTCAAATATTTGTTACCATTTTTCTAATCAGTTAATTTCGTCTTAGTGGCTGTTATCATTAGTAATTTAAGATTTGTTTAATCTCCTGTTTATTTGTCTTAATGGTGAGGCCATCTTCTCTTCCCTTGAGAACCTGAACTATTACTCTGATGCGACAGGTGCAGAAGTAAACTGGCGTTTGCGCGTTTCTTTGAAAGTTACTGGAAAGTGGAAGAGGAAAATTGACATTCCAGTCAGTTTGATCTACTGTTTGTTTACAATTAATTTTGGTTTACGCTAGGCCTTTTTGAGAGAGCTCTGAAATAGTAACTGAATTTAGAAGCTGTCTACTACAATTGCTCGTTTTTTGCGACGATCATCTCAACTCCATCTTGATCCACGGAATTCGAATTGCGAAATTTGTGTGCACATTTCTGACAGTGATTTGTTCATTGGAATTCCTATAAGAAGGTATATCTATTTCACTGTAATACAGTTATTTGTAAAGAGCTTTCCACAGTGTAATTGGAAGAGCAGACACAATAGTTTAAGAGGAAAAGACTTTATACGGTGTATGATAAAATGTTCTTTGATTTTTAAATGGCAAAAATATGTAATATGTTAGGATATTAAAGAGAAGCTACTTTCTGTATATATAAAGCGAAGCTTTTTCTGAGGTTGCATGAAGGCTCTTTTTTACAGTAATTTCAGTTATAACAAATTTTTTTTTACTGAAATGAAACTTTAGGTTGTCTTGTCGTTACTACCTACTGGGCAATGCGCTTCGTTCCACTGTTGTTGACGCTATGATTATGGTAGCTGAACCTCGTGAAAGTCAGCTGATTTTTGACTTTACTACAGGTTCGTCATCCGTGATATTGGAAACTGCTCATCTTCTTAAAAACAAAGTAAATTTTCGCTGCTGTGTTTGCTGTCGTTTTTAATATCTTAGTATCATGTTTCATCTTGGTCTGTTATTCAGTGTTTTTCAATCGGTTCTGACATCGAGTGGAAGGCACTTGAAACTTCTTTGGAAAACAGAGGCCATTTGGAAGTTTCGGATAAAAGCGCTTGCCTTATTGACTTTATCTGTGTTGATATTGAATATGGTGATCATTATTTTTTTGTTATTTTCAATAATTATGCTTAACAGAGTCTGCACGTTAACAGAAGGCGTTGCAAAACTATCTAATCACTTTTACTGTGACTTCGCTGTCAGGATTCTGTAGAAGAACGGTTTTTTCATAAGCTCTTAATAATAGTATATT